AGCTTTACATGGACACTTTTCTGTAACATTGTACAGTCACAGTTCTCTTTTATGTAACTCTGTATCTATAATGATCACAGCTTTACCTTTTACAATTCTCTCTATGTAATATTGCATCTGTAATGGTCACAGCTTTTACATTCACAATTCTCTATAAGTAAACTATCATTGTAACAGCTTTACATTTACCATTCTCTGTATGTAACTTTGTACCTATAATGAGAACTGTGACTGCATAGCTGTGATCTTTATGTAACTGTGTCTATAATGAGAACTGTGACTGCATAGCTGTGATCTTTATTTAACTTTGTATCTATAATTATCACAACTTTATAATAATTCTGTCTATGTAATATTGCATCTGTAATAGTCATAGCTTTTACATTCACAATATACAACAATATACATTTTATATATACAACGTTGTATCTAGACTCAACACAGCTTTTACACAATTTTATAGACATGCACCTTAGTGATTACCACCATAATTCTTTTATGTGTAGCACTGTATATTATACTCATCACAGCTTTACATCCACAATTTTCTATAGGTGACATTTCATCAATAGTGATCACAGCTTTTACGTTTTACAATTATTTTATGTACAACGTATTATCTAGACTGGTCACAGATTTACATCACTAATATATTTGTACAACATTGTATCTATAATCGCAACTTTTCACAATTCTATATATGCAATATTGTATGCAGACTCATCAACTCTATCTACAGCACAGTGTTCATACTAATCATAGCTTTCCGCCATGATTCTATATGCATCATTGAATGTATACTGATCACAGCTTTACTCTATAATATACTTGCGTGAAACATTGTATCCAGACGTATCACGGCTTTACGTATAGATTTTATATGTGGATTGATTTACTAAAGGGGCTGTTCACTTTCACTCAATGTTAGTAAATAAGGTGCATCTATTGCCAGTTGGAAACCCGAAGGGGGGGGGGGGGTGATAAAAATATATTTTTTTCTAATACATGATTTGGAGATTGAAATGAACTCGGGTTCTGATTTCTTTCTAAGTAATATGCTTTTTACTGTAAGTCTATTGCTTTAGTAAATCAACCCCACTGTATTTAGACGCATCAAAACGTTACACTCACAATTATTTACATGTTCAACACTGGGGATGGATGGAGGATGGATAAATAAGGGGAAGCTGCCTTCACTTCACTAGTTTAATTATGTACAAGCGTAAACAGAGCTTCAGTAATTCTAAAATGAACATGTATTTTGGTAGGAGGACATTCTCTTCTCTTTTTGCAGATGTTCTTATTGTGTCCCCATTTTGAAATCACCTTTGTGCATGCTTTGAGTTGTGTCTGTTACATTTCTTACACCATACCATACATTATGGAGAACTTTGTATGGGAGTGTGTGTACAGATTTATGTCATGGTATACCCACTAGAGTGCACATGATGATGAAAGTGTCTTGAGGGTTCTACAAAACATAATAGAATGGTGTAACTGGATAGTAACTGTGACTGTTCATCTTCCAGATATCAGGCACTGGGGCTGAGGTGCAATATCTGCACAGTTATGGAAGAAAACCCCTTTCACTTTTTATATAATAAAACACAGAGACAGATCAAAATTCCACAAACCCACAAAAACCCATGGCCTGCAATTCATCAGCTGGGCCGAGTGATTCTCTTGGCATGGTCACAGGAGCCAGAAACAGGAGTGGGTGGCTTGAGTGATTGACAATCCACTCTGCCCCAAATGGAATGTATTGTGAATAACTGCCTGGTCTTATTTGTATTTTTGGTGTGATTTAACACTTGCAGCAGTTCAGGAATTTGTAGGAAAGTATCACAAAATAAAAAATATACAATGAAGCCTGTTACATCCAGTATGTGGAAAATGGAAGTGAAAATAAATGCTGCCCTGTATTAGTTTTAGTGATCTATATAATGATATGTGTATAGTCTGGGGTAGATTCCCCAAGGGCTGTTTATTTAGCAAAGCAAATGCTTACTTTACATAGTTCTAGTGAAAATAAAGGTGAAGTTGCCTTTTACTTCCCTATATTTTTACATTTGTCTTCCAGGTACATGAATGGGTATTTAGGATGAACACAGCTTTGCCTTATGTATCAACATTCACACTGCCAAGTGAGCAGCTTATACTGCTTTAGTACATCGATCCACTGGGGCTGATTTGCTAAAGGCTAATATGGGTGTTCACTTTGCAAGGGAATTTTCCATTTGCTTAGTGAATGAGGTGAGGTTCTGCTGAATTCCAACATCCAATTTTATGCTAGAAAGTGAAAATTCACTTTACAAAGAATGCCCAATACTGCAAAAAGGGCTTGTTTTAGGCTGGCCATACACTATACAATTTTCTTAGTTTTCTGCCCAATTTGTGCTCAATTTCCTTTTATTTTTACCTTCCACTATGTAGTGCAAGGGCCTGCCTAATTAGATACAATTGAAAGTGTTGTTTAGGTTTGACCTCATATTATATGGTTTTTGGTAAATCTAAAGAAAATTGTATAATGTATGGCCAGGTTTACTAAAACTGCAGAGTGAAAATTCTGGTGCAGCTGTGCATGGCAGCCAATCAGCTTCTAACTTCAGCTTGTTTGGTTAGGCTTTGACAATAAAACCTGGAAGCTGATTGGTTTCTATGCAGAGCTGCACCAGATTTTGCACTCTCCAGTTTTAGTAAATCAGCCCCTTTTGCACAGGATTGGACATTCTTTGTAAAGTGAATTTTCACTGCATTCACCAAGCTAAGGGAAGATTTCCCATGCAAAGTGCAATTTCCCTTACAAAGCTCCTTTTTAGTGAATTAGTAAAAAAACTAAAAATGAAAACACTGAGGTTGGCTAAACGTTTGCAGGGGAATTTGCACTTTGCACGGGACGTTTCCACAGAGCTTAGTGGATGTGTTGAAACTCCACTTTACAAAGAATACCCGATCATGATCAATTTAAAAAAAAATCAGTATTTTTGCTCGCATGTGAATGGAAGTCTGCAAAGTTTTACTATGCTCTGGAGGGAATTTCCCATGTATAGAGCAACTTCTCTTACAAAATGAAGTCCATTTGCTTTGAGTTGTTTGCTCCTTCTCCAGTCTTGGGTCATCTGGTTCTTGTGTGATTAATAGACGTTTTGTCTGCTCAGTCTGTGAACTTGGAGCAGGATTTTTGTAGTTCTATATTAGGTTTCAGTGGATTGTTACATGTATATTTTCCGTGATGAGAGAGTCGTCATTAGTACGTAGTAATGTCACCAGAGCACGGTCATATTTTTTTATTGAGGTATTTTTATGTATCAGAGGTCACACGCCGAGGAGAAGTGTACATGGATGTGGCTTTTTGTAGATGGGTTCATGGCTGATGACAGTGCTGCTTGTAGATCGGTGCCGAGGAGCGCAGTGCACAGATGTCAGTGCCGGGAAAAGTCGGCGTGTGTAGCTGTAGAGAGGCGTTGATGAGCGCTGACAGCAGAGGAAACGAGTCATTTACAAGCACTGAGCCCATCTGATCACACCATCCACTGCCTGCTCCGGGAACTGGTCTGCCTGGAAATGTACAGAGGGATCGCTTTCACCATAACCATGAATAGAAAAACAAAAAATAATAGATGAATAAAAAAAAATATGAAATGTATTGCAAGATCGCATGTCCTTGCCTGCATTGTTTAGGGTGGGCGTAGAGACTGGAGTATTTAATATTGACTTTGCTGTGAATAAATCGATTAAATGGGATCGGTGGACGATGACAGATCGGTGCACATTAACCCTTACACACGTGCGGTTTTCATCCCTTTCCTTTTCTTGGTAGAATGTGATGGCCAATAAGACAACTGATCACAAACCAGATCTCAGCGATCTATTTACAGTTATCTGATGAAAGCTGAGTTCTGATTGGTTGCTTTTTTTCCTGTGTGTAATTCTTCTGTGACATCTGACCTGTGCGGATACAATGTTACCAGAGTGTGATCCGCAGGCAGGGATTTTGGTTACATTGTTCTTCATTGATCCATGTGCACTACATGCCCCAGCGTGTCTTGCCAGCCTTTAGCTTTAGTGCCAATATTTGGGGTAGGTTTGGTGTTATATTTTATTCATTTTATTATGTTGTATTTTCCCAATAGGTTTTATATCTTTGAAAATAGAAACCTTTAGTTAAAGCAATATGAAACCCAAAAGCAAATATTTATTTTATTGCAGCTTACCGATGTGATGGCTGCAATAGTTTTCATTTTTAGGCTTTCTTTCTTTTATTTCCACCTTGTGGTCTGCCCAGTAAGTCTGCTATTTTTCAACAAAACCAACTGTCCCGCAGATGTAACAGTTAGAGGGTTGGCATAAACCAGTTACTACTGATATGTGTGCTATCAGTGATCAGCTTCCATTTAATTATGTAAAACCTTTATCCCTTGTAAAGTATTATCTGCAGTGTGGCTTCACTTTTAGTGTTTCTAACTTTGCTAGTACATCTAACACTCCCCTTTAAAGTTTTTATCTGCAGTTTGGCTTCAATTTTAGTGTTTCTAAATCTGTTAGTACATCTAACACCCTCCCCCCACTGACAATGATGCTGTCCAAGGGTGTCTCTGTGCTGGTTATTGGCCAGATCACCAGGTGGGAAAAAAAGGGGGGAGTGAAAAAAATTAAAAAAAAAAAAAACTAATGCAGCCGCCACATCTGGTAATATGTAATATATATTACATGTATGCTTTTGTGTTTACTACCTTTTTTTTACTATATTTTTCCTAGTGAGTCTTTAATGTTTGAAAATAGAAATTACTAGAATTGCTGTGTAGTTTCAGAAAATGCTAACAAAAAGCAGGGTGTTCTTTTTAGTGAAAGGAGGGGAGGGGAGTCAACGGGGAACGCTGGGATTTGTAGTTCCCATTTTGTCAGCATTAGTAGCTATGGCCCTGATTTTAGAACTAATATTCTTGTTATCGTTCTCAGTTGTAAAATCCACTTTTGTGTCTGTGTTTGTGTTGCTGTAGATGACACAGAGCTCCGACATATTGCCCCATCTGTAGTAAAAGAATGTCACTCCGCAGTGGCTGCGTGTGTCCTGGAGGCTGTGAAGCACAATGTAGACAGAGCAGCCCTCAGGTATATATGTCTCTATAGAAATGTGTCTCGCCATAACTGTGCGACAGACCTGCTCATTGTTTCTGCTGTCCCCCCCACAGCACCTTCCTGGAGGACTGCAAGTTCGATAAAGAAAAGGCAGAAGAGTTTTGGACTGAATATCAGGTTTAGATGTTAACATTTTTGTCCTTTTTTTTGTGTGTTTTTTGTTTTTTTTTATTTTGTCGTGTGTGTGTTATTAGTTTTTTTTTCTTTTGTGTGTGTGTGTGTGTGTGTGTGTGTATTTTTGTTTGATTTGTTTTTTTGTGTGTGTGGGTGGGTGTGTCGTGTGTGTGTGTTTTTTTTTTTTTTGTGTGTGTGTGGGGGGGTGTGTGTGTGTGTGTGTTAATTGTCAGTCTGCTGTATTACAGAAACACAAGGAACCTCTGGAGATCCTCCTAGGAAAGTGAGTGCAGACTTCAGTCATAATGTTGTCTTCAATGATCTCTTGTATTTGGTGTGATGAGTCCTTTACTTTGAATACTGTGCAGGGGATTTAAGAAAATAGGAAGTTCTCTAGCTCACTGATATTGGATTCTACATTAAAAAAAGAAGAGCTTTAATAAATGGATATCATTGTATTGGCCTGGTGGGTGACTCCAGTGTTTGTCCTTTACCTTCAGTATAGGCAGATGTCCCCCACACGTGTCAGATGTGTCCTGGCGTCTCGCATATGAGATAAAGGTGATGGAAAGCTTTGTGTGTCCATTGATTTTGTTTGTGTATTGATCCTGTATCATTCAGCTGAGACGATTTTTTTTTCTTTTCTTTTTTTTTTTTTTTCTTTAATTTTTTTTTTTACTCTTCAGACCAATCAGCTGCACAAAACCTACCGGCCTTCCTATTTTGTGAATTTCAGTTTAGAGGTAATAGTACACAGACTGATATGGGGAGGGGGGGGGGTGGGTTCTTTATGTGACCTTGATTAGTAAAATCTAGTTCTCTCTTCCCTCAGACTTTGGATCCCAACCAGGCCCAAGATGTTAGTTTTAATTGCTCAATGGAACAACTGCAGGTATACTTGTATTAATTGTATCTGAATTGAGACAAGATTTCCAGAGATAATTTTGGGCTCAGCTTGCAAAACTAACACATCAGGATAAGAAAACTTATTTTCATGAAAGTGACAGTTGTTTTCAGATGTCCAGCAAGATTTGAAAATGACAGTCACGTGGCTGAAAATGTAAGACCCTCATCCTTGTGTAAAGCTTTGTGAAATAAGCTTTTTGTGTGATACTACTAAAGCCAAATATTTAAAAGTATCCAGTTGTGTTTAAAATGGGTAGAAATTGCTGGCATGTCTGAGCTGCTCGGAAACCAGATAAACTGTATTTTTTCTGTTTTGCTTAATTTTATTTATTTGAATAAAATGTTTTGTATGTTTTTTTTTTTTCTTAATACTTTTATTTTTTAAAAGAGAAATATCCAATTAATGGATTATTTATTGCAACCTGAAACAAAAAAATAGAGAGGAATTTATCAAAATTGTAACAGTTGTGCATACAAGCCAATCTTTTAACTTTAATTTTTTTAAAGTTTACCTGAACAAGCTGAAGTTAAAGTTAGAAGATGATTGGTTGCCATGTAAAGCTGCTCTAGATTCTGTCTGCAGCAGTATTGATACATTTTCCCCATAGGAGGAGATTTACTAAAACTGGTGCACACAGATGCAGCTGTACATAGTAACCAATCAACTTCTAGGTTTTATCAGCAAAGCTTAATTGAACGATCTAAAGTTAGAAGCTGATTGGTTGCCATGCACAGCTGCTCCAGTTTTGATAAGTTCCCCTTAATAGTGTCAGTCTATGCTAGCTGTTGTTTTCAGTTCAGGTCAACCAAGCTTGCTTGCTATGGGAAACCGATTCATTCTTCCATTGTACACATGACTTCCTCAATCGTTACTTTTGTATTGATAAGGCAGCCATGGGGATCACAGACAGTACAGATTGTAAAAAAAATGTTACAAAACTGCATGTTTTATGAAAATTGGGGCCCAGCTATTAATTGCTAGCATTTTTGTTTCTGTCAGATGTGTTTCCACTCTCGATCAGGTTTTTGTTAGTCAACTAAAGACGGTTTTATTTTAGTATTTGTAAAAATGAACATCTTGTAAGCCTTGTGGTGATAATATTCCAGTGGTGGTCCTGTAACAGTCTTACTCCAGTACCATTCCTAGTGTCTGTGTCACTCTTCATAGTAATATGCTGTCATGCTCTATGGAGATGGTTTCACAGAATTATATGGAGTTCTTTGATTGTCACTATGGGGTAGATTTACTAAAACTGGAGCACTCAAAATCCGGTGCAGCTGTGCATGGCAGCCAATCAGCTTCTAACTACAGCTTGTCCAGTTAAGCTTTGGCAATAAATCCTGGAAGCTGATTGGTTTCAATGCAGAGTTTCAACAGTTTTTCCACTCTCCAATTTTAGTAAATTACTCCCTTTTTATTTTTATCTAATTAATGCCTATACGGTGTAGTATAAATTAATAAAAATGACACATCAGTATGACGTCATCATGAACGGTTACAAGATGTGCAGGTTGTCAGTGTGCCTGGATCACACCGAGCCTCTCATTTGTTCTTTCTAGACAGGTCCTGGCTCTGGCTCAACTGTGATGTTTTATTTTCTTATTTGTCCTTTAGGATTTAGTAGGAAAACTTAAAGATGCAGCTAAAAGTCTGGAGAGGACCTCTCAGATGTGACCTGGAACCCCATCAGAAGTCACGATGGAAAACAGAATGTTATATTTTCCTTTTTTTTTTGTGTATCTCATCCTGCTTTTTTTTTTTTTTTTTTTTTTTTGCATTCCTAGTGATAAAACTGTTTTGTTAGGCTGTGATGTACTGTTTTTCGTGCCTCTTTACATTCCATAAGATTTGCTTATGTTGAACAAATACATTTCAGCATCTTCATCATTTTTTTTTTTCATCATTATTCCATACAAAGATGCCTGTTCTTTTTATTTCTGCACAGATTTACAATACCCATATACTGTATGCCTTTTGTGTGTACAAATAAATATTTATATTTATATCACATCGTGTGGTTTATTTATACTTTCCTCTATGCAGTCTTTTTTTTTTTTTTTTATATCAGTCCTATAAATCTCAGCGGCTCAAAAGGTTGATTTTTCAGTCCTCAGGCAGGCTCTGTGGCTTTCTAAGCAGAGGATTTATGAATAGTGTAGCAGCCAGATGGGTTGTGGTGCAGTATAAGTTTTCCTATTGCATGAACCAGATTTAAAGCTAAGATTTCATTGGCTTGGACTGGGATGAGTCCAAAGTTTTGGTACTTTTTCTGCTTTCAGTTGTGTCTTTGTATCACCTTTTGTGGGCAGAACAAACACTTGAACGTTCTGGTTTTGGTGGACTGGTTTATTATTTGTCAACAGGGATGTTGGAAATGCCATAATGTAAGTGGTGACCGAATCTGAATTGCTGGCTCTTCCTTTTTTGCTCCCTCCACTGTCTTTAATTAATTAACCTTCTGCAATAGAACATGTGACAGATCATTGATAAGGGATGTGCTATTAAATCAAATTATTGGTTGAATTTTCTTCTAAAAATTATAAAAGTGTATAAAAAATGGGATCAGATTATGTGAACTTCTCAGCTAGAATAAACTTTTTGGTGCTGTACAAACCTGTCATTCTACTATGATTAGGATATAACACCCAATTAGAAAACCAATAGGGATCCCTAGTACTGCAGATGTAACTTGGGTTCTAGTCCTCAACACTTGTTCTATGCGAATATAAAGGCTGTAGGAGCTTCTATAGGTTTTATTGAGGAACACCCAACTGGATAGCTAATGGGGTATCCCTCTGTAATGTAGCTGTAATTTGAGTTCTAATCTGCACCAAACATGTTATAATATCTATGTAGAAAAATAGGCTGTAGGAGCATCTATATGTTTTATTGATCATCTAGCTGGAATACCAACGGTGTATCCCATGTAATGTAGCTGAAATTTGAGTTCTAATTTGCACAAAACTTGTTATAATATCTATATCACTATATAGGCTGTAGGAGCATCTATACATTTCATTGATCATCCAGCTGGAAAACCAATGGTGTATCCCATGTATAGTAGCTGTAATTTGGGTTCTAGGCCCTACAAGACTTGTAAGTGATATATAGGCTGTAGGAGCTTATATAGGTTGTGTTGATTTAGATACAACACCTAACTTGATAACCAATGGTGTATCCCTAGTAATGTAGATGATTATACAACATGGGCAATGGTTTTTAATTCTTTGATTTAAAAGAGATATAAAGGCTGTAGGAGCTTCTATAGGTTTTATTGATTCAGATACAACACCTAACTTGATAGCCAATGGTGTATCCCTAGTAATGTAGATGTAACATGGGCTTTAATTCTTTATTAAAATAGATATATAGGCTGCATGAGCTTCTATAGGTTTTATTGATTCAGATACAACACCTGACTTGATAGCCAATGGTTTATCACTAGTAATGTAGATGTAACATGGGATTTAATTCTTTATTAAAAGAGATATATAGGGTGTAGGAGCTTCTATAGGTTTTATTGATTGAGATACAACACCTGACTTGATAGCCAATGGTGTATCCCTAGTAATGTAGACGTAACATGGGTTTTAATTCACAAGACTTGTTATAAGAGATATATAGGGTGTAGGAGCTTCTATAGGTTTTATTGATTGAGATGTTAGAGAAGTGTACAGACCTGGGGCTGCCAGTCACTATTATTCTACATAGTATCTCCATCCAAGGAAAACTACAGCTTTCCATTATACGAATTTCTTGTACAATTGTTCTTTAAAAACCATGGAATATAACAATTTAATTTTGTATGCAATCAGCCAGGCCCTTGCACTGCATAGTTGGAGGTAAATCTAAAATACATTTATATAAGAAAATTGTATAATGTATGGCCAGCTTTGCACACTTAAAACTTTAGGTTGGCCATACATAATACAATTTTCCTTCAGATTTACTAAAACCATCTAATATAATACTTTTACTTTGTATGCAATCAGGGAGGCCCGTACATAGAATTATATAAGAAACTTGCATAATGTATGGCTAGCTGTATACAATTTTCCTCAACCTGAGTGGGGTGTTGGAATGGCTCTTCCAGACAGGATCCCAAGAAATTATTGTGTGTGTACAATAATCTGGATTCTGGATGGGGTCGGGCAGTCGTGGGTGGTTCTCCTGCGCTGGGAAAATCGTGTTTGTAGAAAGCTGAGGGTGAAATACGGCTTGTATGTATGTCTGAGCACCTCCACCCCCTCCACCCCTCCTGGAAGTACCGGAGAGACATTCCTGCAGCTCTCACCCGGATTGGGCGGCGCCTCTTTCAAGTGGGTCACAGGGCACCCAGCAACCCCCCCATAGAGCAGCGTGAGATCCGAGCACACGTGCGCTCAGAGGGACTCCACAGATCTGCGATCCATTGAAGAATTTGCTGCTTGTAATCTATAAATCCTGTGTGCTGTCCGGAGAACTCAGCGGCGCTGCCACCGAGTACATCGCAGGCACCCCCCAGGAGCCCCCTCACTCTGTACACATTGATTGTAATACGCCCAGCAGCCGCCTATACATTGCACAGGATTTAAGGACGACCGGCAACGACTGGGAGCACGTCTGCAGCCCTCTTAAAGGAACATACACCACCTACAGATGTGATGGATACGTCCGATCTGCTGCGATCCGAATACAACGAATTCCTCAGTCTATGGCCAGCTCCACTAATTGCCTTTAATTGCATTAACCCGTTCATCCCCTGACGCCAAACGCTGAGTCTGCTGCAACCGATCCATCGCCATAGCAGGACACGTTTGCTGGAACTACTCCAGTTTTTGGGTGTAAATCATTTGCAGAATGTCCATGTAGACTCACAGCTGCCTGTACAGATAGGATCAATGGCTGCTTAGATCGACTCTACCTTTGGAAGTGTCCTCTTATGTATAAAGCTGACCATACACTATACAATCTGATTGTAGTACTTTGTAATATGAGAACAAACCTAAACCATCCATTCAGTTAGGAAGAGATCAGACAGGCTCTTGCATTACACAGTTGATGGAAGATATAAAGGAGATTGTACAATCAGATTTTATTTACTAAAACTGCACGATAAAAAATCTGGTGCAGCTCTGCCTAACAACCAATCAGCTTCCAGGTTTTGTTGTCAAAGCTTCATTGAACAAGCTGAAGTTAGAAGCTGATTGGCTGCCATGCACAGCTACACTAGATTGTGAGTGCTCCAGTTTTAGTAAATCTCCCCCAGAGTGTATGGTTAGTATGTGGCTGGCCATACACTATACAACCTGATTATGTCATCTCTGTACAACCAAAACTAGCCAACGCGAGGACAACCCTAAATTATCTATTTAATTAGTGTAAAATCAGGCAGGCTTTTGTACTTTACAGCTGATGGTAAATGTAAAGGAGATTGTACAATCAGGTTGTATAGTGTAAGGTCAGTCTAACGCTCTGTAGATCGATGGTATAACACATCATGAGTGGTGATATTATCCATGGGGTACCACTGTGGACGATTTAGAAGAGAATATTTATAAATAATGACAGCAATACACGTCTGTGGCATTAGGATTGGTATAGTTACTATTCATTTTGTAGAGCGTGTTTCTGTAAACGCTGATTGAGCTTAGTAAATAGGGCGAAGATGTGTCTATGTCTGCATAGGCGATTGTTTTATATCCCAGTGTGGCTGGAAATGTAAAGTGAACACAACTTCACCTTCTGTACTAAATTGTGGCCATACACTTTGCACAGTGATCATTCACCTTACTACGTGAACAGCACCCATCTATTCTGCCTGCATCACCCCCATTGTGGCTCCCCCATGGTTCACAGCCCCCAGTACTCCACTGGGATTCATTTTCTGCACCGTATAATCTGCTGTAAGCGGCACCTAAAATCAAAGGCAGGTGGTTGTGTCTTCATTCAACATTGTTATTTAAGGAGCAACAATGTATCCCACAGCTGGATGGCTAAAGCTAATGGGATTGCTGCCGCTAATTCAGTAACACAATGCAAGGAGCAATGGGGGTACCCAAGGAACACTCGCCTGTACTGACCAATCAGAATCAGCTGAAGATATCCGACTATGGCAAGCCTACATGTGATTGGTTACTAGAGGTCACTGGATCGCTTGCATGTCCTTGTTGCACTTATTGAAGAGGTCATTCAATAGTCCTATGAACGTCCACATGGAGTATAAGGGGCTTTATTTCATAGCATTAGATTATATTTCACAGGTCATTATTATTGAAGTCCAAACATTGAGATCTACATCAGGCGTGCCACAGCTCCATATGACTTTTATGATGCCCATGTCTTAAGCCCCATGGATGATCCATACACGATGCAATTTAATTGTACAATGATCGTGTTCAGAGCAGCTCCTCTCGAATACATTGTAGCTTCCCTATGGCAAAGCAACTTTACTAAAATCCCATCTACAATATCTGATCCCTCCAACCCCGATCATACTTCGGTTGTTTCATCAGTTCTGGTTGTAGCTTGTCCCTAGTAAATTCAGTTCTCACAGTGTGATTACTAGCACGTGTACCCTTAGACAACACAGGGGGCTTGGCATGCCTGGACCTCCAGTATACACGGTAGGTACAGCATGGTTGTAAGTATGTACCCCAACTATACATCAAGTACAGTATAGTGGAAGCGTCCTA